TGTAGCGACCATTTGAGGGTGAGGATTATTTATGGAGAACAATAACATAATGCAACAAAATTGGATTCCAAATTGCCTTATCACTAATAACTTATGATGCAGCACTTGAGAACCCAACTGAAGCCTGAAGTCTGAAGATATTGGCACAAAAAGGATACAGCTAGATCTTGAAATACTTACAGCAAAAGAGTAGCAGAAAAATCTGGCTTGTTCAAGTTTATCCCAGCAGTGTACTTGGTTGGTAAAAGAAGCAGAAGCAGTTGCTGCTGATTACTGTCAAAAAGCTCAAGAAGCAGAAGCAATTACTGTTGAAAGCTCCAATACTAGGTTTTGTATTATTGCTGAAAGCTCCAGCCTCAAATTAGGTTTTTCTTTTCTTTTTTTTTATTGTAAAATGACGAAAATATCCTGGGGACGCATGTGAAAGTCACATGCCGTCCCCGAAACGTCCCCAGGACTCGATGAAACATCCCCGATGTCGTTCAGTCGTACCCTGCCACCGTGACACGTCCCCAGTACGTACCCCACCCGTCCCTGTGCTTCCTAGATTCGTAGCAAGTATAAGGCTGAAGATAGATTGCATGAGGTTTTTAACCGGTGCAATTGCTCACACATGTGGAAAGTGTTGTACACAGTTTGGTCTTTCTTCAGAAATAATATCAATTGGAACTTGGGAAATGACAAAGATGTTGACTTCTGGAATGATGAATGACTAGCAAACAAGGGACCGCTAAACAGCATATGCCTACAACCGAGCACTATTGATGACTAAACGATCAAAGTTAAAGACATGATCACTAGATATGAAAATTGAGACTATGAGTAGTTGGAAAACATATTACCTGTGGAAACTTTTAAAACGTTAGAGGCAGTAGCACCACCAATAAACAGTAGTCTTCCTGATAGCCAGGATGAAAAGTCTTAGAGAAAGACCGTTCTCACTAAAACACTATACAAAACCCTAACTTGGAACGGCGACGAACAAAGGAACAAAGTTTGGAAAATTATAGCGAAGCACTAGAGTCTACCGAGGATTAAAACGTTCATTTGGCTCACGTGCAGAGGTTGTCTCTTAACAAATGCAGAGAGAGTCCGATGTCATATATCAACTTATGCGAGCTGCAAAGTTTATGGTGTTGCTATAAAAGATATTAACAATGTCCTCAGAAAATGCTCGATAGCACTCATAACGTGAAAGCAGGTGATTCAACCAGATAAGTTGGAGGAATTCTTGAACAGTGATATGAAAGATTAGATAGTGAAAAATTGACCTATACTAAATCTCCATCGAACCAGATACCCGATTGGACAACCTTTTTTAGCGCTGTGTTGTGGGCACTGTAGAGCAAAAAGAATAATGCTAAATTCGATAATAATATGATCGAAAGAGAATCGGTTATTGAGAAGGGATTAAGAATATCCCAGGAAGTGATCTAAGCAAAGGCCTTAGTAAATAAGAGAAGCACATAAGAGCAGACGGTCACAAGGAAATGGGAACCTCCGGATACGCGTTGGTGCAAAATAAATATGAATGGAGCTCGTAACTCGCTACCAAGATAGACCACTTGTGGAGGAGTGGCTCGGAACCATAACGACGATTGGATATGGGGTTATGCCAAAAAAATGGGACTTTGTTATACTTTAGAGCCGGAGCTATGGGGAATTCTCGAAGGACTTCAAATATCTTGGCATAGAGGAGAAAAATAAGTGATTGTGAAAACGGATAATGGCGAGGCCATTCAGTTAATAAATGAGGAAACCGCTGAAAGGAGGCAACTTACCTTACTGCAACACATCGATAGGGTCTACAAGCTTAACTGGAGAGTTAGTCTCATGTCTCAAGAGAAGAAAATATAGTGGCTGATATTCTCGCGAAACATGCTTGGACCATGCAAAGCAGTAAAAGCGAATTCACTCACCCACCAAATGGAGTTGTGGATATATTACGTAAGGATCGTATGACTTAAGATAGAATTGGACTAGTGTATTCTCCTTTACTCACAAAAAAAATGTAGTTGTTATTGATAATTCAATTATTTTGATTTGGGTGGATTAATGTCAGGCTTAAGATCATAATCACTACTTATAGGGTGACATGTTGAATGAATATAAAAATATAACAATAGATTTGACTTTGATAGATTACATGAGTCAGTATGAGATCTTTCGGATGACTCTTATTCTTGAGGCTTTAATTATAGGATGATTTGTTCGTAGAATAAGTTTGAAAGAGGTGTTATAATACTAATATATTAGTAGATAAATGTTAATCGATTGCGGTGATAAATACAAGTTGACTTCTTAAATAAAAGACAATAGAAATAAATTTAAGAAATGATATTATTAAAATATAATAATTACGAATTTGAAATATAAATTATAAAATGAATATATTGAATAAATGAAATAAATAAGTAATTGAAAAATGAGAGAGTGTGCGACTTTCTTTCACAAGCAGAACAGTGCATAAAACCACCTTAAACAAAACGATACCCTAAACTCAAATAACTAAAAAAATGCTTGAAAACAGTGATCTTAAACTCTTCATTAATACAGCCGATCCCATAACATTGAATCCCGTACTACCCGACAAACTTGAACAGGTACGAAGAAATAAATAAATGGACGTAAGAAGAAAGGGTGGTTTCGTTCAACTCCACACAAAACCCTAAATGAGATATTGTGGGCTGTCAAAGTTGTTTTCCTGCTACTGTTTGAATGAGAATGAAAAACCGCCTAGTTTCGTTTGAAAAATGCCCATGGTTTTGAGTTGAAACATTTTCTTGTTTTAGATTCGAACGTGACATTAATTAATTTATACACATTTTTACCTACTTTATTAGACAATTTTTAAAACTATTTAACATTTCTTTTTAATTTAAGTCTGGGTTGACTCCCTTAGTTTAGGGTTAGGGTATATTTAAAATTCAATTGTAATTTAAATAGAAAATTACATATTGTTCATCAAGAGTAACACTGGTGGGATTCGAAATTGATTTTACAAGTTCAAATTATTGAATTTCAACCACTCGTGTCAATGCTTATTAGCTTAAAATTATGTTTTTTTTTGTAACTTATAAAACCTTACCGATAACGTATAAGATGATCTCTCTTCAAATATGTATATTGATAAAAAAAAATTAAAAAAATTACTAGAGATAAAATGTATTCGACAATTTGACATTAATGACTAAGGTTTACAGTGACACATTGTATTTGAAGAGATAGATGTATGTGTATATTAATATTGTATACTAGAAGATGCATGTCCTGAACTTGGACTAAAGATGCCACGGTACGATTAGATAGGCCCATAGTTTCATCAACGAAACATCAAGAACTGGTGAGCTAGTGATTAGCGGTGATTTAAACAGTAAAACAAAGTAAATGACTCATCTGTGATTTATCCTTTTTTTTAATTTGGACGAAAAATTATATATCATATTTTAAAAATAAAGGGTACAGTACTCCTTGATAGGGAGACAAATACAGCCTTTTAACTTTTAAGCTACAGGCGCAAGACGATTTATTTTCTCTGTATAAGCTTAAAAGCAAGACAGTTGAAAATAGATGTGACAATCTTCCTCTGACACGCTCCATATTAAAGAAGACTAGTCCTTTAATTTACACCCATAAAAAATACAACAAATGTGATATGTACTAATGTTTCACATTAATGATATATTTAAATTTAAAAAAATAGTTTCATAGAACTGGATTCTGAATATCTCTTTATCACCCCACTAAGAAGTGAAAAAGTTTTGTTGATGTTATATTTTGAGAACGTAATGGGTATAATTATACGACAGTATTTGTTTATATTTTTTTAAATTATTGATAATTTACTATATGAATTAGTTGGTCTTTATAGTAAAAGAATTATTTTTTTTCTTGAGGATTCGGACTCGATCACCATAGATTTTAGGGTGTGAGCATTTAATGTCGAAAGGTTGTGAGTTATGTTTGAACATATATTATCTTGTACTTATCCTAGATTAATAAAAAAATATTGATATCTTACACAAACTTTATAAATGTAATTATTTGAACTTCAATACCTCAAACGACAATAACACTTTTTTAATCACAAGTTCGTTTATTTCACTAAAAATGTTTTCCGTAAAATAAATTACTTTTTTTGGAAAATATTTTCCTGAAAATGTTTTACGATGTTTGGAATAGGTTGTATAAATCATTTTCACTAGTTGATGAAACTTTTAGAAATTTTTAAAATAAAAATAAAATATTTTATATTATTATAATATAAGTGAGTATATTATTTAAAAAATATACTATTATATTATTAAAAATATTAATAATTATATTCTAAATATTTTAATAAATAAAATTTTGATCAAAGTGATATTAAAATATTATATTAATATTAAATATATAAAATAAATTTATTTTGAGTATTTATAATTTAAAGTAAAAAACTCAAAAAATAACTTACGGAAAATAAGACTGTGAGTCATTTTTCAAAAAGTACAAAGAAAATTATCTTGATCTGGAAAATATTTTACATTGATTAATTAATTTTTCTCCAATTAAACATAAAAAAATAAAATAAAAAAAACATTTTCTAAAAAATATCATATGCGAAACTATCATAGCCTAAAATTATTCAATGAATTCCGTGAGAACGTATGGATCAAGATTTAGGACCCAGTAGGCTGTTAGCTAGCGCCTAGAGGTGTTTTGTTACGGGGGAGATTTCAATCAGTTAGTTAACATGTGGCTATATCAGCATCAGACACGTGTATTAATCGTATTTCATTAACAAGCTGATTCAAATTTTGGATTAATTATAAACTTTTTATCCAAGATATTCGGTGGAATATACATTAAAGAAAAAAGCAGATTCCATTTCAAGCTTGGGCATTTAGGGCTAATACATATATAGTATATAATTTCACACAATAATTGTATAATGAATATTTTATTATTTCCAAACCATACTCCTACAGTCCCCTTCTATCTATAAATTCTTCAACTTGATCTTCTCAAGGCATCTCCTATAGAGGGAAAAAAGAGAGATGGAGATTAATGAACAAGGTTTCTTAGAGGAATTATTAGCTCTAAGAAGAGAGAATTGGGACACAAATCCAACAGAAATGAGTGAGATTTTCTCTAATGGAAGCTGGAATTTTGATTGCTTTGATGATCATAGACCTCCATCATCAAGCTTTCTCCCAAGTTGTTTCAGCCATGAACTTCCACTGCCATTTCACCAGGATTTCAGCTACAACTTCAATGAAATCTACTGTCCGTTCGTCGATGAATTCGCTACGGATTCATCGAACAACACGTTCGATACACCCCCGTTTCCGGTTCGGGAAGATCACTCATTGAACATGGTGGAAAGAGGAGAACAAGAGGAAGAGTCGGGGTTCCTTGTTGACAAACTTCACAAGCTGGATGTCAAAGCTACTTGCAAAATCGAGCCTGTTCAAATCCAATCTCCCGAGCCACCGGTTTTCGACTTCGAGGCACGCTTGGAACCCAAGAATCGAGCTAAGAAATCGGAAGGGCAGCCTTCGAAGAATCTAATGGCAGAGAGGAGGAGGAGAAAAAGGCTAAACGATCGCCTCTCCATGTTGAGATCCATCGTGCCTAAGATAAGCAAGGTAAGTGACCTGCGAAGTGCAGAATTCAAGTTCTTATTTGGGGCCTAATCTGATTATATTTACCATTGTTCTTTCAACAGATGGACCGAACATCAATCCTTGGAGATACTATAGATTATATCAAAGAGCTCTTGGAGAGGATCAAAATGTTGCAGAAAGAGATTGCAGCAAGTTCGAACGAGTTAAATACGGATCACATTTTCAAGGCCGAGAAACCGAATGAAATCTTAGTGAGAAATACACCAAAGGTAATTGAACTGATTCTTCTGCAAATGTTTTTAGTACCTGAATCCGGAACCGAGTTCGTAAACATGTTTCTTTTTCCTCGCAGTTCGATGTCGAAAGACGAAATGGGGATACGAGGATCGAGATTTGCTGCAGAGGGGATCCAGGGTTGTTGTTATCAACTGTGACATCAATGGAATCACTGGGGCTTGAGATTCAACAATGTGTGATTAGCTGTTTCAATGATTTTGCATTGCACGCTTCATGCTCTGAGGTAATAAAATTGCTGGTAAATTTTAATTTTTGTTTCTGGATTAATTAATCTTTGTTTCAGGACTTGGAACAGAGAACATCAATGAGCTGTGATGATATAAAGCAGGCGTTGTTTAGAAATGCTGGCTATGGTGGAAGATGTTTGTAAACTGTAGGACCAAAAATTAAGCTACTTTATGATCAACTTTTATTATGTTTCCACAAGTTCTCCATTTTTTTAAATGTCCATGTTCGACAGTCGTGTTTTATAAATCTTTAAATATGAGTATGGAAATAGCTATATTAAATAATATTCATATTCGATACTCGAGCTCGAATTCGACTAAATCAACTTTTTCTCCACTCTCTATTATTCAATGGGTAGGAATGTGACAGTGAAATTCTGCAACTAAAACTCCCTTTCTGACTTTTTAATTTCATAAGTAATTGAAAGTTACATTTGTAAGCTATCGACAAAGGAATCTTGGGTGTTTCTATTTTCTTCCCATCAAAAGATTTGAAGCATGGAACAAAACCATTGTTGACAAAGGAGGCTCATTAGCAGTAAATTACGGTGTGAACAGATCTTGCCATATATATATATATATATATATATAACTTGGAATATATATCCGTGTATGACAGCATCAAACAATTCTCATGGTGCTTTCAGACTTTGACAGATGTGTTATGGTTTTCTCATAGTCGTATAGACTATATCTTCTTCTTTTTCAAGATTTTTATATATTTGGAGACCTTGAACATAAGTACTTCTAAAAGAAAATGGCGTTGGGGACAAAATTATAAAATAGAAGCTGACTTGAATGGAAATAATGAGTTAAAGATGTTGATATTACATGACAGGATGGTACTGAAGAATAAGAAAATGGTAATAATCAATGGGAATTCACCGACAATCAATTAGTTTAATTAAATTTCTTAAATAATATTAAAGATTTAAATCTTAATAGTATAAATGAAACAAATCAAATATAAGTGATTAAGTAGGGGGGGGGAAGAATCCAGAAGATGGAGAAGATTGGGATGAATTTCAGCAGATATATAGGGATCCTGCAAGCAATTCTGACTGGGAAAGTGAGCCAAGAGACTTGATGAAACCAGGCAACAGGCCAAGCACAAGCTAACAAAAATGCAATGAATGAATAGCTCTATAAAATAAGGAAAAAGAGTTGTAAAACTATAATTTGGGATAATTTTTACTGTTATTTTATCACCAAACGGTTAGACTCCTACGCCGTCGGCCAGCCCTGATTGGTGAAAACCATTCTGATCTTACACCAGGAGATGACTAACCTTATGGGAATGCAACACGTGAAAGTCCCAATACCATGAGAATATTTCCACAGTAACTTTTAGGAAGCTGCTGAGTTGTTTCCCACACACAGCAAAAGGAAATATGGAAATGAATTTTCTGATGCATTTGAAACTTCCTTTTCAAGTACAATCCAGTTTTTCAAAGCCTAAAATTATTGTTTCCTTTTCCTTTTTTCCTGTTTCTGCCTTTCTGAGCAGCCAAACACAGTAACCTAACCTAATGGCATTGCATGGTATTAAGCCTAGAAATATTCTCCAACAAGATTGGTATGGTATGCACGAAGAATTTTATATTTGAATGAATAATTGAATATATTTTCACTAAGAAAAATCCCAATAAATGCATTTGCAGAAAATTCCAGCACTATATTAAAATAAGTAGTAAATTAATTACAACTATTAATATTGTTCCCATTGTATCAATAAAAAAAATTCTACGGATGAACCCAAACAGGGTTCAAGCTGTAACCTCGTTCTGCAATCTATAAAGCCGAAAGACCATTAAAAGCACAGTAGAAATGGTTTAGCCAAATCAGAGAGCCGAGCAATAGTGTTTTTACATCAATTGAAAGCTGCTCCACAAGGGCCTCAAACAGATTAGATCAATTGTGAGGAAGTGTTGTTGATTGTAGTGTTTTAGAGGTTCGGTATTCGAAGCTTACTTTTGGCCTTTTTCTATCTTCTCTCTAATTTTCTGTTCAAAAAGTGACATATCTGACTCGAGGTCGAACATTCTGTTAAGTGCATGCATGTTCTCAAGGACCTCGTCTAGGGTTCGGTTGTCCCTACCATCACATCTCAGGTGCTGCATTGGACCGTGGAGAAGTTTATTCACTATACCACGGCTGAGATCTTCAATTGCCTTTTTCGATTTCTTTGGGATATCATCACCCATCTTTGATAAGCATTTATTGAACTCTGCCTCCCTAATTCTTTCTGCATAGGCTCTCAACTTTTTGAGTGTAGGAACAGTTTCCAGTGAATCCCTCCATGCTTCAAACTCTCCCAGTTCTTCAGCAATGATGGACTGTGCTTCCATTGCTTTTCGTAGTCGATCCTCCTTATTAGCAGCTACAACCTCTTTCAGGTCATCAACATTGTAAACTTGTGCACCTTCAACTTCGCTGACACATGATCCTACATTTCGGGGAACAGAGATATCGACGAATAACCTCAAACCACCGACTTCAGAACTGACCGGGGGAAGATACTCAACATGCTCTTTTAAGAACAGTGGTGTTTCAGATGTTGTACTGGTGAAGACCACATCAGCTTCAGCTGAACAAGCGAGCATGTCCGGAAGAGGTCTGTAATTAATCTCTACACCTTTCGCCTCACCTTTTGCCTCACGTTTCAACTCTTCACGGATTGCTGCAACTTTCTCTTCACTTCGGTTAACAACAACCATCTTGGTGCAACCTTTTGATACCAAGTGCTTGATCACAAGCTTTCCCATCTTTCCAGCTCCAATAACCAACATTCGAGCAGTGGCATGTGAGGACTTGGGAAGCTTCATTAAAGCTAGTTCAACAGCAGCGGAGCTAACAGAAACAGCTCCGGCAGCAATATTAGTCTCAGTCCTAACACGTTTTCCAACAGTAGACGCACACTTGAACATCATATGTATGTTCCTTCCAAAACCAAGGACGCCTTCTCCGGATTTGAGAACTTGTTTAACTTGAGCAAGAATTTGACCTTCTCCAAGAACAAGAGAGTCTAGACCTGCCGATACTTTAAAGAGGTGCTGGGTAGCATCCTTGTTGTACAACAAAAACCGGTGCTTGCAAATCTCTGAAACTGGGATGCCACTAGTCTGCAAACCAAATTGTCGTTAGCTAAGCAACTGCTGCCTTGAAGTTTTCACATAAAACCGATCCATGAAACTAACTTAGAGAGGTTAATACGACAAAACTAAAAAGGCCAACTGGTAATGTACCTTAGACATCCATTCCGTTACTTCTTTGACTCCACGATGTTGAGATAGAGCCACAACATATATTTCCATCCTGTTGCAGGTGCTAAGAACAGCTGCCTCTTCTATATGATTCAAACCACATAACTCCCCGATGGCTCGTGGCCATTCGGCTTCGGGAATGGCAAGTTTCTCACGCATCTCCACAGGCGCAGTATGAACACTGAGCCCTATGACAACAATGCTGCTCCTTTCCTTTGTATATCCTGGCATGGATCAAAAGAAGATTTTCGGTAAAATCAGTCATAAAAGGAAAATTGACATGTATATTTTTGCAAAAAGGATTGTAAATCTTGAATTTAACTAAAATCCATGGGCTAAATCTAAAAAATGTTGAATTCTACATTAAAGATAAAGGGCCATTCTATCTAAATATTGGTTGATTAAGAACTAATCGCTCTGACATTAAAAGCATAAAATTATACCGATTAGCTATGAGCACAAGAAACTAATGATTTTGGGGAATTCCCAATCCCAATTAACTAGATATTCCTTATAAATTTTTACCCTAATATTTAAAATATATGAACAAGTCAAACAGGTCGGCTTAAAAAATAAAATTCGAAACATTTCAGAGAAATCAAATTAAGCACCACATCAATCAAATAACAATCCACGATCAAAAGCAAAATATAGAAAAGAAAAATTAGCAGAAATAAAAGATAAACGTACTGTCTGCTGCGGATGTCTTGAGTTGTTCAAGAGCAGAGAGTACTGCAGTCTTGGAGGAATCGATTTTTTCGACTTCCAAAGCCGGGTTGGATTCGACGGCTTCACATCTAATTAATCCATTCCTCGAAAGTGTACCTTTCATTCCACGATTAGGCTTGTTAAAGATCTTCAATTGTTGCTGATAAGGCAAATAAGATCGGGAAAAAGAAGCCGAAGACGATGAACAATGATTCATCAACAAATTCTCCAATTTAGAACCGGAAAAACTCGAATAAATCGCCATGGTGATGTGAAAATTGATAAAGCTCACGATCTAAGCCCCCCAAAAAGAAAGATTAAAACCCAGAAACCCAAATTGAAGGGAGAAATAGAGCGTGAGCCCTGAATGGGAAAAGGCGTGTGGTTTGAGTAGGTATTTGTATATGGTCGAATAAATAAAGGGTGGGTATTAGTTTAGTTGGTATGAAATAATTGACCCAAACCAAAATTCAACCAACAACGGGTCAATTCAAGCTTTCTGTTTTTTATATTTAATATTAATATATTCTTTTAGTATTATTTTAATAAAAATATTAATTATTAATTATATTTATTAATAATTTTAATAATATAATATTTTATTTTTATTGTTATAATATATGATATTGTATTTTTATTTTAATAATATATAATAAATTATCAATTAATATTTTTTTATTAATTTCATAAAAATAATATTATTGAATTGTTGAATATTCAAAATATATTTCTAAAAATATAATATAATATTTTCATTTTAAAATTATATTTTTTTTATTATTTTAGTAATATTATTATTTTAATAAGTAGTAATTAATATAATTAATAACATGTTATTCTTATTTTAGCAAATAACTAAAATAATTTATAATAATTTTATTTTAATAAAGTATAATATTTTTAATATTTTTATTTATAAAATTATAGATATAATTTTTTTTAAATAATCTACGGCAAGTACAAGGCATTATCTGTTTAAAGATGACTCTCAACCATTTGAGGAATAAAAACAATTCAATTATCACTGAGGTCTCTTGGTTCGTGCAATTATAGATATTATATTTTAATAATAATATAGGCATAAATAATATTAAATAAATTATTCTAATAATTAATTTTATTATTATTATATTAATAAATAATATTATTTATTATATTTGATGTTTATAATAATTTAAAAAATTACCAACCATTGGAAAATGAATTACACAATACCATCCAAACACCGTAAAATAATTTCTACAAAATATTTTTCAGGAAATACAATTCATTACGGAATTCATTATCCGAAATCTGTTTACCATTAAACAAATAGATCCTAAAATGTGGGGGAAATTGAAG